TGCTATGTTATCACAGTTCGAAATTTGCATGCAAGGTAAAAGCTTTGGATATATGTATGCAGAGGATATGATGCATATCATTGTATTTTTGACGGCAAATGAATTCAGGTGATGATGCAACGAATCGGTTTTGCATTGCCCATGCTGCTTACAGTACCGGCTACTGTATTTGTACTATCGTCAATGTGTCAAGAACGCGACAGCGATTCGTGCTATCTGACATGGCTACTCTCAAAAGTCAGTTTCGCTCCATTAGGAATCAAACACCTCATCGAACCGTTTTGATGTTGCACAAATGCATAAGATCTAGTTTTGCTGATTAGGAAAAACTTTTGATGACTGACGATTTGGCTGATAAATTTTGCAGATCTTAAGCAAGCGATAATCATTCATTATTCATGCCAGTATCATTGTATTACAGTGCCCATTGCAATCATCATTGCCAAATTTTTTGTTGTTTGTATCGTCAGCACTCTAATTATCCACATCACCATGTTTCAAGGAACTGTTCTGGAATTGCCAAGGGCGTACCGGATCATTGAAAGAGCTTATGTTGTCACCACAAACATGGATATGGCTATGTTGGCTGATAAGTCAATTTTGGATAACCATTCACCTGTGGATGCCGAAACATGAACGACTGGCGAAAACTGAAAAGTGATCTCTTTTGGAGATAGATTCGTTGCTCTCGGAACGATAGATAGCAAACATCCTGATCGAATTTGTCATGAGGAGGATTTTGAGGAAGGAACCATCTGGCAGAATACTATGTAGTAGTTGAATGAGATGAGAGTTATCCAAAGAAGCTATAGCTGGAACTTTCAGGTTATTTATGCTATTCTCATATAGTGGTCCGTTCGTAGATCAGGCATTGGCGTTCAGTAGGCGCCGTGATGATAAAGTGAAAATTTTGGCTGAGGTTAGTTGAATTCGCAGATTATTTCCGAGTCATTTGTTGATCTAATTGATGCTCAATATGAACAAGAATAAGTGTCATCGAATGCTTAACGATAGGATCTCGAACCAGAAGTTGAAGACTTGTCAACGTATGAAACAATCAGTGGCATAACTCAAACCAACAAAACAACATCGTCAGTATGTAGTGCTCTGTCAAGTAGAGTAGAGGATGGTCTTATCAGGTTAATTTCACAACATCACATTGTCTCTTAGCACCGTGAAGTAGACAGCAAGCAGATCCATCCGATCACAATCGATCTGAATCTCTTCAGAGAGGCTGCCTCCTCAGCAGATGCGATACCAAAGATCTACGCATGCGCAACCATGTGGCATGAGAGTGCCATCGAGATGACGTGTATGCTCAAGAGTATATTCCGTTTAGATGAAGATCAATGTGCCAGACGAAATGCACAAAAATATCTAAAGGTTATACGCTGAGCATATTTCATTCAAGCAAGTCTATCTCATAGTTCCTGAAAGCCGGCGAAATGAGATTGAATAAGCGGTGAACTGGAATCATTGGATTATTTAGGTGATTGATCCGGATTACTACGAATTTGAAGCACACATACTGTTCGATGATGCGTTCCAAATGAACGACTACGGTGAAGCTGTTATCAATAAATTTGTGAAGCAATTCATCGAAAAAGTTGATGAGGCTGCGAGGTGAATTGCTTATAATTCATCTAGTCATTAGCTCACGTTTGCCCGTCAAATTCTGCAGAACATCTTTTGTTTTGCTCACAATCAAATTCCTGCCTCCTGCTATTGGCTGATCGTTTCGGTGATTCATTCAGAATTTGGTGATTTTGATGAATTACAATGGCGATTTGTGAAAATTCGTTTAATTCTTCTTCGTACTCCAACTGAAGANAATTAAGCGGAAGAATGATCCAGTAGTACGGTTGAATGACATTTGAAAGGGATGAGTTCTCATTCTTCGATCACATCGGTTGAAGAAATGTGATTTTAGTGCCGTTCATCAAACGCGAATGCGGCTAAAAACACCGAAAAAGATCACGACTCCGTATGGAGGCCGCATCAGTTATTTGCTACCGGGCCGGAATCGAATGACCGTTCATTTGAAGGATAAAATGAAGATTCGTCATAGGAAACGTTGGAGTCAGGTTAACATTAATCTATTCTGAACTCAGTGAATCACACATCTGAACTCAGTGACAGAAATTTTAATAAAGTGGCTGTCGAATAGCAATTTGATCATTCTGATTGATGGGCAGAACAGTGTCATCGGATTGAATGATGGTCTCAGTCGACGGAATATGCAAAATATGCGTATTATTTTCAGGTGATGTATCTCTACTACTTGCTTGGCTACAGACTAATGATGAAAGTTGATGACGAGACAAGGAAAGAAGTAATTTCTGAGAATACTTTCATACTGACATTGGATGGAGATGTGGATTTCACACCACAGTGCGTCCATCTACTGGTGGATTTGATGAAGAAAGATCGACGTCTTGGCGCAGCTTGTGGTCGTATTCATCCTCGGGGCGCAGGTTTGATTTCACTTCCAACTTCAGTTTCTTATGAATCGCCAGCATCGAAGCCTTTAAATTCTAAGCAATTTGATCATCCAGAATTGCTTGACCTCAGCGTGTGATCACTCAGAGATGGAATTTTACTCAGAATCTTTGAATGAACAAATTGAAATGCTGATGAGATTCAGACACTGATTTAAGAATAGTGAAAATGAGTGCCTGAAAGGAAGGTTAAACTAGAGCTTCGGAAACTATTTGAATGCCTTACCGAACGTGCAATCAATCGAAATGCTGTTCCAGGCCTGATGGTATGGTACCAAAAATTCGAATATGCGATTGGTCATTGGCTGCAAAAAGCCACAGAGCACATGATTGGATGTGTGTTATGTTCACCTGGATGTTTCTCGTTGTTCCGTGCATACGCCCTGATGGATGATAACGTAACAAGGCGATATGCAACGAAGGTCAGCTGCTGAATTCCATTCGCACACCCTAAATCAGATTCCTTCGAGATCACAGTACTGAAATTATCTAGTGTTGAAGTGCGATCTCATGAAAATCAATTTGATTTTAGTCTGAAAATCCGATCGACTACATTCAATACGATCAAGGTGAAGATCGTTGGCTATGTACCTTGTTGCTGCAACGTGGATATCGGTATTTTATCGTTTCCTTCCGAATTTCCAATTCACAACAGAAGTATTAAATTTTCAAATCCCTTCAGTCGATATATTTTCTGTAGCTGTCAACTGAATGTTGGTCTATTGCTCAGCACTATCAAATCAGTCAACCTCACTAATTGTTCGGATGTTTTCTGGAGCTGGCAATAAGATGGCCATTGATTAATTATAGAGGCGATTGAAAGTCAAAGCGGCAATTTCTAAATTTGCCCCTTCTCTCTGTTCTTATGAACTGATCACTGTCATCGTAGGCCAAAACTTATCAATAGCATTTAGTTCAATAATTG